CTAGTAGTAACAATGTTTGCTATTAGAAACAAGTGCCTTACTAGTAGCAACAATGTTTGCTATTAGAAACAAGTGCCTTACTAGTAGTAACAATGCTTGCTATTAGAAACAAGTGCCTTACTAGTAGAAACAATCTTTGCCATTAGAAACAAGTGCCTTACTAGTAGTAACAATGTTTGCCAATAGAAACAAGTGCCTTACTAGTAGTAACAATGTTTGCTAGTAGAAACAAGTGCCTTACTAGTAGTAACAATGTTTGCTATTAGAAACAAGTGCCTTACTAGTAGTAACAATGTTTGCTATTAGAAACAAGTGCCTTACTAGTAGTAACAATGTTTGCTATTTGAAACGAGTGCCTTACTAGTAGTAACAATGTTTGCTATTAGAAACAAGTGCCTTACTAGTAGTAACAATGTTTGCTATTAGAAACAAGCGCCTTACTAGTAGTGACAATGTTTGCTATTAGAAACAAGTGCCTTACTAGTAGTAGCAATGGTTGCTATTGGGAACAAGTGCCTTACTAGTAGTAGCAATGGTTGCTATTGGGAACAAGTGCCTTGCTAGTAGTAACAATGGTTGCTGTTAGAAACAAGTGCATTACTAGTAGTAACAATGGTTGCTATTAGAAACAAGTGCCGTACTAGTAGTAACAATGGTTGCTATTAGAAACAAGTGCCTTACTAGTAGTAACAATGCTTGCTAATAGAAACAAGTGCCTTACCAGTAGTAACAATGTTTGTTAATAGAAACAAGTGCCTTACTAGTAGTAGCAATGTTTGCTATTAGAAACACGTGCCTTCCTAGTAGTAACAATGTTTGCTATTAGAAACAGGTGCCTTACTAGTAGTAACAATGTTTGCTATTAGAAACAAGCGCCTTACTAGTAGTACCAATGTTTGCTATTAGAAACAAGCGCCTTACTAGTAGTAACAATGTTTGCTATTAGAAACAAGTGCCTTGCTAGTAGTAACAATGTTTGCTATTAGAAACAAGTGCCTTACTAGTAGTAACAATGTTTGCTATTGGGAACAAGTCCCTTACTAGTGGTAACAATGTTTCCTATTAGAAACAAGTGCCTTACTAGTAGTAACAATGTTTGCTATTAGAAACAAGTGCCTTACTAGTAGTAACCATGTTTGCTATTAGAAACAAATGCCTTACTAGTCCTAACAATGGTTGCTATTAGAAACAAGTGCTTACTAGTAGTAACAATGTTTGCTATTAGAAACAAGTGCCTTACTAGTAGTACCAATGTTTGCTATTAGAAACAAGTGCCTTACTAGTAGTAACAATGTTTGCTATTAGAAACAAGTGCCTTACTAGTAGTAACAATGTTTGCTATAAAAACAACCCGCCGGGTGTGGAATCGCACGTGTAGTCGTGCAAATGTTGATTCAAAAGTGCAAGCCCTCTCAGTACTTTTGCTTGTTCGATGATGTTTTTTGGGGGTCCCGGATCCTTTCATTTTTAAAGCCGAATCTGCCGAAACCCAAGCGCCAGCGCAAAATCCGTCGCCGTTTTTGTCCCGGGCTGTCCTCAACTTTCATGCGTCCTGTCTCAAGTAGACTTGCGCAGTTTTTTTGCACAAGTTAGTACACGTGGTGCTTTCCCAACGCCACTGCCATCCGCGAGTCACACGAATAATCGATGACAATGATATGAAGCCGATGACAATGCTATGAAACCGAAGATTACTTGTCGTGAAATCGATGACAATGTTCTCAGCATGACATCCACATCCTCATTCCATCACAACCCCCCCAACCCCCCAACCCCATTTTAATCACACGACTAATCGATGACAATGTTATGAAACCGATGACAATG